CCATGGGGAGCCCCCAAATCCATGGAGAGCCCCAAAAACTGATCCCAGACACCCCAAATCCATGGAGAGCCCCAAAAACTGATCCCAGACACCCCAAATCCATGGAGAGCCCCAAAAACTGATCCCTGACACCCCAAATCCATGGAGAGCCCCAAAAACTGATCCCAGACACCCCAAATCCATGGAGAGCCCCGAAATCCATGCAGAACCCCAAAAACTGATCCCAGACACCCCAAAATCCATGGAGAGCCCCCAAATCCATGGAGAGCCCCAAAAACTGATCCCTGACCCCTTAAAATCCATGGAGAGCCCCAAACCCAGTCCTAGACACCCCAAATCCATGGAGAACCCCAAAAACTGATCCCTGACACCCCAAATCCATGGGGAGCCCCCAAAACTGATCCCAGACACCCCAAATCCATGGAGAGCCCCAGAAACTGCCACTACGAGATCATAAATATTGGGAATAAATACTTGGAATAAACGTTGGGAATAAAATACTAGGAATGAATAGTAGGAATAAATATGAATAATAAATATTAGGGATAAATATTAAGAATAAATACTGGGAATAAATATTAGGAGTAAATGTAAAGAATAAAAAATAGGAATAAGTACTGGGAATAAATATTTCGAATAAATACTAGGAATAAATATTAGGGATAAATATTAGGAATAAATATTAGGAATAAATACTAGGGGTAAATATTAGGAATAAATATTAGGGATAAATACTTGGAATAAATGTTAGGAATAAATATTAGGAATAAAAAATTGGAATAAATATAAAGAGTAAAAAATAGGAATAAATAGTGGGAATAAATACTAGGAGTAAATATTAAGAGTAAAAAATGGGAATAAATATTAGGAATAAATACTAGGAATAAAGACTAGGAATAAATATTCGGAATAAATATTTGGAATAAATATTTGGAATAATTACTAGGAATAAATATTAGGAATAAAATACTAGAAATAAATATTAGGAATAACTATTAAGAATAAAAAAATAGGAATAAATATTAGGAATAAATATTAAAAATAAGTAATCGGAATAAATAATAGGAATAAATATTAGGAACAAATATTAAAAGTAAACATTAAGAATAAATAATAGCAATAAATATTAGGAATAAATACCAGGAATAAATATTAGGAACAAATACCAGGAATACCCAGGACTAATTCCCCGGAGAAGCCAGAATGGGGCGTCCCCGGGTGTTCTCCCGGGAAGAGACTCCAAACCTCCCCGCCGGGAATCCGCCGGCGAATTCCAAACC